GTGCCTGGGTGGCTCAGTCGGTCAAGTGTCTGACTTCTGCTCAGGTCGTGATGTCACGGTGTGTGGGTTTGAGCCCCGCATCGGGCTCCCTGCTGTCAGCTCAGAGCCTGGAGCCTGCTTCGGATTCTGTGTCTCTCTTTCTCTCTCTCTGCCCCTCCCTGACTCATGCTCTCTCTCTGTCTCTCAAAATAAATAAACATAAAAAATTTTTCTAAAAAAGTGGGGTGTAGCACAGTAGGTTTGTACGCTGAAGGGAGTGGTCCAGCACGGAGAGGAAGGTTGGTGACCCAGGGTGAAGGGAGAGAAGGAAGGAGAAGACAGAGGAAGCAAAACTCGGGGTGCTGTCCCCAAGTAGGGGACGAGTCTGGTGGCCAGGGTGCCGTGAAGCATGGGCCTTAGTGAGGTGAGGGAAGGCACAATGTGTGAGGACCATGCAGGTAAGCCATGAAGGTAGACTTGATGGAAACATGGGAGTTTCTATCTTAACTTCCACAGCGAACTAAGAAGCACGATCTCTGCCGAGGGTAGCAGTTAAGCAAACAGCGGCCTTTTCTCTTCAGGTCACATTTACGTTGGTGACGCTTTTACTGTGGCCCTGTGGCAGAGGTGGCCTGTGCTTCGAGGCCGGAAAGGCCTCTTTGGAGGGCTGGCTCAGCCACTTCCTGAGCTGGTGACAGGAGGCAAGGTCATGGACCTCAAAGGGCCATCATGCTGTGTCTGCAGGGGGCTCAGCACGGACAGGGGGCCTGGATGGATTGGGTGAAGTTGAGTGATGGTGTTTGCAGACCGGTCAGCAGAAGTGTGGGCCACAGACTTGCCCTTGTTCTTCTAAGAGCTCGTAAGGCCGAGATGAGCTAGCATTGACCTACTTAAGTGATCTCACGGAGGCGATGCCCACCCCGGCACTGACTGAGCGCCCTGTGTGTGTGTGGTTCCTTTTCCCGGTCGGGTGTTAGGTCCTGCTGAGCTGTGTGTGCCAGTCTGACGTTGGAGCCCGACATCTTCAAAGCAGAGCCTTTTCTCCCGTGTGAACCTCGCCGGCCTAGTGAAGAATGAGCGCCCGACAGTGGCCTCACTGCCGTCCCGCAGCTGAGTTGACTGCCCGGCACCCAGGAGGGCAGACCGTCCCTGTGGTTGGGGCTCGGAAGGAATGGCACGGGGTCTGGGAGGGTTTTCTGGGACACCGGTGACAGCTTACCAGGGGGCGGAACATTCGGGTTTGAATTCTATGCCATGCGCTGGTGGGTTGACTTTAAAAGCAGTCAAATTCGGATATCTGTATAATGAGGGAGGTTTAGCCCATAATCCAAGCCTCCTTTATGCATAGGAGCAACAAAGTATTCGAGCATCCGGGTAATTACTCTGATTTTTAAAGAAGTCCTCACAGAGCAGGGTTGAGGGTTGAAATACAGGCCCGCATCCGGCTACCATATGGAGTGGACCTGAGCAAAAAGGCCACAGGCGCAGCAGAGGAAAGACCGGCCGTCCTTTCTGGTAGCTTCGTGTTGCGAAGGGGCCCCTGCCAGTTTATTGAGAATCCCACACCTTGCACTGCCCAGGAACCTCCTTAGGAAGACTGTGTCCCGTCCTGTCCTTTGCCCCTGCTGTTCTGCCAGAGTTTCAGATGCATCAGGCTTCTGTTCTGGTGGCAGCTGGTGGCTCCGTGGCCTTAGCGTGAGTAGGCCCAAAGTGGCTGTCCTGTCCTGAGAGATCCTGGGAGGCAGCAGAGGGGTGTGTGTGTGTGTGTGTGTGTGTGTGTGTGTGTGTGTGTGTGCGCGCGCGCGCGCCTTAAGGCCCCCACCCCCACCCCCCAGTCTCTGTCTTCAGCTCTGCCAGCTCTGTGGAGATGGCCCAAGACCAGGGCCTGCCCCTCTCACTTCCTGGCCAGTGTTGCGTGACATTCCTTTAGGAGGGCTCCAAGCCAAAGTACTTTTTTTTGTAAACTCCATTTTTAAAGCTGCTCGAAGCCTTCTATTGACCAGATGAAAGCCTTAAATCTTAGTCTCTCAAAAGTTGTACGTTCCTAGTCATGATTTTCCTCACGGTGACTTTGTGTGGCAGCTGAGTTTTGCAGATGAGGAAGTTGGGGCTTCAGAGATCAAGCATGTCCCACACAGCTGGGCAGGGTGGGGCGGGAGTCGGAGCCAGGTCTGTGGGCTCTCTCCACTCGCCCTGGCACCTTACCAAGTGCAGCTCACCTCCCTCCCTATTTCACATGACCTCTGTTAGTCACTCGTGGCGCTGTTTTAAAGCTCTGCCCCCCCCCCCCCCAGCCCATCCCGTGGCGCCTTAGGCTCTGGTGCCGTCTCAGAGCCTTGCCTCCAGCCGGGTGCCTCTCTAGCCAGCTGGCTTCTCGCTCCCAGACCCTGCGGAACTACCTGGGAAAACCAAAAGCTGACGTCTGGCACTTTCTTGCCTTTTTTTTTTTTGGTGCAGGCCTCATATCTTTATCCACAGCTTTGTGGGTTTGTTAGAATAGGAAGTGAAGTACTTCCTATATAAGCTTTTGCCATGCTGTGTCAAACTCATGTGTCCCCTGGCCTTCAGACCGGGGTGCAGATTTATTGTGCCAAATCAGATTCTTCTCCCTTGGTGTCAGCCGCAGAGAGCTGTCGACAGCAGTGGTTACAGCAAGCTCTTGTCCTTCTCCTGCAAATGTCCGTTTTGGAAACCCTGCCTCTTTTCGCGCCCTCCTTTTCCCCTGCATCCTCCCCTCCCCCTTCTTAAATTTAGGAGACCGTTCCAGATTTTTGAAGGTTAGCGAGCTGGATATACGAGCTGAGAAACTATCTGGTAATGATAAGGGGCAGAAGTGAGCCAAACGATTTCCGGAATATTCTGCAAGAGGACTTGGATGCAGGCCAAAAGTAGGAAAATCTTTTTTTGATGTTCAGGTTGGAAAGACTTTCCCCCTCGTCCCCCAAATTTTAGATCTGCTGCTCACTCTAGATTCAGAGAAACATTCCTCAAGCCAGTTATTGTGTGCTGTGAATTTAGAACGTATATTACTGAGCTTTGTTGTTCTTTTTTAAAAAAGAAACCAAATTATAGATTTGCACATGCTTATTAATTTTATTACTGATTCCATCATACTTGTATACTGCTTTTTATACCAATAATTAATTGTAGGCCAGTAATAAAAAGTTTAATGGCTACATGACCCTTACCATAACCCTGACTCATAGAGCGTGAGGGAACGAAGGTATATTTCAGGAGTGTGGCTGTGTGGCACTACATGTGAAGAGTTGGTGAGGGTTCATGGACCTGTTTTGTGTTGGAGGGAAGGAACTCAGTTTCCTGAGATTTTTTGTTTTCTTTAAGACATTGGGCATAGCCTACATTTTATTTATTTATTAACATTTTTTTTTAATGTTTATTTATTTTTGAAAGAGAGGGAGACAGAGTGTGAACAGGGGAGGGGCAGAGAGAGAGGAAGACACAGAATCCGAAACAGGCTCCAGGCTCCGAGCTGTCAGCACAGAGCCTGACGCGGGGCTCGAACTCACGGACCGTGAGAGATTATGACCCGAGCCAAATTCGGACGGTTTACCGACTGAGCCACCCAGGCGCCACATATCCTACATTTCGTAACTGAATTTTATGTACTTGATTTTAAAATGTTAGTTGTTTTAAAAAAAACGTAAGGACCCCAAATTCCGTTTTGCAAGATACCACGGTTTTGCAGGTATTCAGTGATGACAGATGTGAAAACTTACTTGTCCCAGTAAGATGCCAAGTTCAAATAGTTTAAGCCTACTGTCCAGGTGTACCTCTGTGGCTTTTCCTTTTGAATTTTCTTTCTTCTGGACAGACCTCAGTCAGTGGGGATGGTTCTGCGTTTCTTCATGAAGCTTTCTGAGCTCCAGGCGATTGTGTTTGGCCAGCTGGATTTGCTTCTTCGTCGCTGCCCCTAGATTGGTTTATTCTTGACCAGGACGGGCCCTGCGTGTGGCATTTGCTGGAGTGTTATTGGGAAAGTGGAAATGCCTTCCTGCTTCTGGCTTGGTTGACAGTATGCTACTTGTGTGCCTCCTTCTCACTGGTAATCTGCCAACACCTTTCAGGATATTATGAAATTCAAACCAAATGAGATTAAAATGGAGCCTCTGTCCACCGAACAGACACATGGCCTGACTGTGGTCGTCCAGGACACTTTCAGCAGGGGCGGTGGGATTGCAGTCAGGGGCAGACAGTTTTGAGCTTTCTTTAAGGGAAGGGCTTGGCCTGTGTGCTCGGTTTTTATGGTGAAATTGTCCATGTTCGTGGCACATTTCAGGAGCAGGATCCACTTTAAAATCAGAGCTGTCCAAAGTCATTTGCCTTGTGTGTGACTTCTGCCCCCTCCACCATTCCCTGCTGGATACGAAGGAGTGATTGTAGGATATTTCCGAGTTCCTGGTGACACTGTGAGACTCTTGGTTGGGGTTTCAAAGGGCAGCTCTCCGCTGAGCCAAGTACATGTTTTAAAGGAGAGTGAGTGTGAGATGCGTCTCCTTCTCAGTGGAGTCCTCACCCAGCTTGGATATGCAGGGGGGCGAGGGCAGCTGTGGGTAGGGGGCTCAGGGATCGATGCCCTTTCTTCAGGAACCACCGGGTGAGTGAGGAAAGAGGTTGCAGAAGGCACCTTTGGGGTTCGGCAGTTCAGACCGTGCAGAAGAGCAGCGGAAGCAGACAGGGGTCGAGAGCAGAAGTGCAAACCCTGGGGGGAGCTCGAGTTCGGCAAGTGCACGGTCTGTGGGCCACTGTGGCTGGGGCAGCCTGGGTCTTCCATGGGCTCACTGTGGCTTCGCTCAGTCTGGGAGCCCACGCAGTAAGGACGGAGTGTGTCGTTTTGGAGGCATTTATTACGACAGGACTTCAACTAAAGTTTTGTGGAATATTTTGTCAGTTTCAGTGTTGTAATTGAAACTATTTTCTGCGAAGTTAAAAACGCTTTTGAAAATTGAAACGAGGGGCGCCTGGGTGGCGCAGTCGGTTAAGCGTCCGACTTCAGCCAGGTCACGATCTCGCGGTCCGGGAGTTTGAGCCCCGCGTCAGGCTCTGGGCTGATGGCTCAGAGCCTGGAGCCTGTTTCCGATTCTGTGTCTCCCTCTCTCTCTGCCCCTCCCCCGTTCATGCTCTGTCTCTCTCTGTCGCAAAAATAAATAAATGTTGAAAAAAAAAATTAAAAAAAAAAAAAAAAAGAAAATTGAAACGAAATGAAGCAGTTCGCTGGAGTGGTTAAGCACTTGCCCTCGGAGCTCAGGTAGACCAGGCACATTTCATGGCTCTGTGGCTCTGGGCGGGGGACTTGGTCTTCTGAGCCTTGGGATCTTTGGCTCCCAGGCCAGGGTGCTCGGGACCGTGGGAGGACGGTGGCTTTGCTGGGAGAGGTGTACAGAGCCACCGTCCTGGTCCCCCACGGCTTTGTTCCCGGCGGCCCTGGGCCTGCTCATCATCGTTCTGGGAGGGGAGGCCGTGACCACCCTGAGGAGCCATGCGTCTGGGGACACCTACCAAGAGCCAGCGTTGCATGTTGGGCACTGCCAGTCGTGCTGGCGTCACAGCTGTGGATCGAGAGGACTTACTGTGCCTACGTGCGTATCTAGAGTCGTCAGGTTTGCATGGAAATGAATTTGGATTTTTGGAGAGTGGGAGGGGGACGTCGGCTGACTACGTTTCACGCTCTGGAAAGTGAGGTAGAACGGCAAGGGTCTTGCTTTTGCTAACGTTTCAAAGCCAAGGTTCTCGCACAGAAGACGTGTCCAGAAGAGCAGTTCTCACTGGGAATCGGCTGCGTCCTCTCCTCTGAGGATGTTGGCCGAATGTCGCAAGGCTGGGACAGCGGGCAGGGCTGCTGGTGCTGTTTCCCATTGACCAACTGCTTCCTTGGGCCTTTGTGGTTCTCCCTTGTTACACCTCCTTGTGCCCCGTCCTTTCCCTCGGGGTGGGGGTGGGAGTGGTGTATAGGGTAGAAGCCACAGTGACCTGGAAGACTTGATGCAGATTGGGGTGTTAGAGATTCAAGGAGACGCCCACAGGCTTTCAGACCTGTCTCGTTGTGGGAGATGTTTGTACAGCAGACGTATTCAAGATGTGTGTGCAAGTGTATGTGTGTGTGTAGACTGCATTTCTGCTCAGCTTGCAAATATTTTCTTCCAGACGCTTGGTAGTGTAGATTAGAAACATGCCGTGGCCATTCCGTCATTTTTAGTGGCGTGGCCAAGGAGTCTTCGAACCTGGGTGTTTCAGGTTGGGTTTGTGAGTGTCACTGAAGGTGCCAGCCTGGAGGGGCTGCCCTGTGGTAGGTGGCTCTGGCAACCCCAGAAAGAAGCCAGCGCCCAAGAACTTTCATAGGGTCCTCATTGCCCCTCACTCCCATAGCCACTTACCATTTTGATAAATCTTGACAAAGCATATAGGAAATGCAAATGGAGAAAAGAAATAAAATTGGACAGAGCAACAATTTTCTTGCTAGGGACACTGATTTCCAGATAATCGAGACAATCTTCCCCATTTTGCTTTTTTCCCCCCCATCTCTTTTCTGCTCCCTAAACACACACTTTTTACAACTACCTTATTTAAATATCACCTCTGCGAAACCAGCAGCAGAATTCTGTTTTTAAGAAAAGCGTAGCATTTTAGGCGCTGTGTGGATTGCTTTAGAGTTGATTCCTACTAGTTGATTCATTCTAAAATGATACCTTTATGTACCTCGCTCGTATACTCAGGATTGTGAAACACTTTCATGATACCACTATTAAGGTTTTAGATTTGATGTGTTAGTATCCCAGAAAAACATGGCCGTTGCTCTTGAATAAGAGATTAGCATTTTTTAAAAATTAACTGTAATTAATAAAAAAGTTTTGCTAGTACTCTGCAAAATAAAAACACTAGCTTAAAATTTTAAGGAAAGATCCATAGTGTCTTTGAGTGGCCTTCCTTTGTTTCAAGTACTAGATCAAAACGACATTGTTTAGTCTGCAAAGCAAAGCCCCCGTGTAGCCAGCCTCCCCATGTCCTTGACCTTACCTGCTGCTTGCTCTGCTTACCCGTCTCCCTCCAGCCTCATTGCCCTCTTCCCTTTTCTGTCGCGGTGCTAAATTCCTTCCCTCCTCGGGGCCTAGCAGTGGTCCATCTGCCAGAATATTCTTCCCACCATATCTTCCCGAGTTGCTCCTTTTTGTTGTTCGGGTCCCAGGGAAAACACTATCTCAAGACTTTCCAGGCTCAAGTACGCCCTTGGTCATTTCCTATCCCACGCTGGTTTGTTTTGTCATTGCACTTGGCGTGCCAGCCTGTGAAATGGCTTACCTGTTCATTTTATTTTTGTTTACTGTGTATTTGTTTACCCGTTTATGTTCTGTCCTCCCCTGGAGGGCAGGGGGCTTTTGGTCTCTGATCATCGCTGCACCCCTCAGTGCCTCTGCAGTGAGTACTTAAGAAATATTTGTGAAGCAAATGAATAAAGAAAGGCTAGTGAAGGTCAAAGGAAACAGGCCTTTATTGATGACGTTCTCATGCCTGGTCATACTTGGGTTATTTTCTCTTGTCTTTAGCCCTCATGACTTTAGGAGATAACTCTAAGGGGTTACTGATAAAGACGCTGAGTTCAAAATTGGTGGATGCCAGAGGGAAGGGGGTGCCTGGGGGCGTAGATAACTTGGGTGGAGGAGAGAGGGAGGAAAAGGTTTCCAGTTACGGAATGAACAAGGCACGGGGATAAAAGGCACAGCACAGGGAATAAAGTCCACGGTATTGTAACAGGTTGTATGGTGGCCGATGGTAACTTCACTTGTGAGCACAGCCTGAGGAAGAGAGAGAATGAATTACCATGTTGCACACTTGAAACTAATTAACATTGTGTGTCAACTAAGCTTGAAAACATAAAAATACAAAATAAAAACAAGAAGCTTAGTTCAATGGTAACTGCTTCTGAGCCTGGCCTTACCTCCCGCCCGCCCGGCCTGTTTTTCAGGTTTCCAGTAGCTGGCAGTCAGAACCTCTAGGGGAGCACTCTGGGGTGTTCCTGTCCCTTTGCTTCTTGGCCCGGAAATTTTGGTCGGTCCCCGCACCTAGGTTTGGGAGAATGCTTGGTTCCTTGCCTGCCACCACCCCGCTCTTGGGGCTCGTCTGTTACTGGACAGGGCTGCTGGAGGTGGGGGGGGGGGGGGGGGGGGGGGGGGAGAGGGGGCCCACATCCCTGCAGGGGAGGGCCATGTTGCCTGCTGGGTTGTGGAGTCTTTGTCCTGAGGCCCGGCGGAAGGGGGCTCTGGGAAGTGCATCGCCACTTCTGTGAGCGAGTGCCTTCTGTCATCAAGGTGCTGCTTTGGGGAGATCAGCTCTGGCTACACCTCAGTGGTCTCAGGGTTCAGCGACCTCCAGGTGTCCCCCCCCCCCACCCCCACCCCAACAACTCCTAAGCCTTCTCTCCAGCAACTGTTGAATTAATACAGTATCTTTGCATTTTGCAAGGAACTTTTTCGTTGCTTTCCTCATTTCCTGTCTTTAGCCTTGCTGAGGAAATGACCCCTGTTTTACAAAAACGACAAAACATTCTCCCCAGGAAGAGTAGAGAATGGAGAATAATTGCTTTGACAGAACGGACAAGCCATCATTTTGTCCCACGTATGCAGATTGACTCCTTAACAAGTACTCGGTGTTTACTTGGCAGAGGTTTGAACGGAGAGTGTTTTAATGCCTGTAAAATGCTTGATGTAGTGGGTCCAGCTTAAGTAAAGTTTGTCTGATTTTGAAGCCAATAGTTGATTCATTGCACCACTTTGTCTTGTCCCTTTGGATGTGAACTGTAGCCGTAAAAGGTAAAACCGGAGACTGTCTTTCATGCCATCGCTAGTGTTTATATAGAATAACCAAAGTTTAAACCAATTCTTTGGCTCTTAAGCATTCCAGTGCTGATTGGAAAGGTTGCGATCTTATATTCAACATGATTCTGGGGCAGTTATGTGAGTTGATACTGTTTAATGGTAGAGTTTTAAGTGTTTTGATGATGGTCAGTCTTGTGCAGCTTCAGGGCGGACTGAACCAGCGCGAGGTGGTATTTAGTGGTTTCTGCCCTGGCTTCTGTTCAACTTAACATAGTTTGACTTTAGTATTTTTTGGCTAACGAAAGTGTGTCTTTTAGGTTGTGGCAGTCTTAAGTAAATGTGGCTTGCATGTGAAGCCAGGGAGAAGCTTAATTATTGGCAGATCAGTGACAGTGACAAATTGTTTTTCTTCCTTTCTAGTTATACATGGGAAGCTGTTGATACCAAAAATAACATGCTTTATAAGATCAGCATCTGTGGAAATCTGGATATTGCCCAGTGTGGGCAAGCAAGTGCTGTTTGTATGTACGACTCCAAGACAAGCAGCTATCACTCTGTGGGTAAGTAGAAAGTTCTCCTTACTTTGCTGGTTGTGTGGGATCCCCGTTTTGCAAAAATGACTATGTACATAGAGCTGTCTACACGTATGCTTATATGTGCTTATACACATTTTTTATCTTTTATAATAAAGTAACAATTTTAGATGTCCAGTGTGAGATCAGATTAGCTTACTTCCATCTAGTGGATACTGTTGGCCAATCACGGAGAGTTGTGCACATTTGTATCTATTGTCATGAAGAATTGTGCACATTTGTATCTATTGATACAGAAGGATGTTTCTTATATGGCTCTGCCTTCTTACGTTTTTCTTAAACCCCATCTTTACTTTCTCCCTGCTTCACACTTACTTCTTCCAGCTGGTGCCCAGCCCCTGACCCGCTTCTACCCTTCCGGTTGTCCGTATTCACATGGGACAAGAGGTGGTCACCAGTTTTCAGCTTATGTTAAAAATTAAATAGTCCCGAGAACCACCAATCCAAGAGAAAGGAGTGCGGACTTTTCTTTCCCAGGACTCATTTCATTTCCCCAAATGCCCTCCTCTGGGGTTAGGATCCCTTTCTTACTGGTGAGGATGAGGGGCCCAAGGTGGCCAACGGCAGCCGCCCTACCAAGTTACATGGAACAGCAAAGGGCGGGGGGTGGGGGGGTGGGGGGGGGTGGGGTGGGCTTAAAGGAAGAAACGCAGCGCAGAGCTAAACATGGCAGCCCTTTCTCTTGGTTGGTCCACGGATGTCCGTAGTGACCTCCGACCAACACAGTTTGAACAGTGCAATGTGACCGTGAAGGACCGTCATGAAACGAAGGCCTGCATGTGACTGGGGACAGGGTGGTAGCTGGGAGAGGGCACTCAGGTGTTTGCAGTTGGGAGGGTCAGCTTGCCGTGGTAGCTCTGTCTGTCATTTTTAATGAAAACGCCTAAACACAGTTAAAAGGGCTTTTTAGAAAGTAATGGTTAGAGTGATAAGAGTAAGGTCTGTGAGGTCTGCTGGTGGAGGCAGCTTCTCTTAGTTTCCTTCTCTTCCGACAGGGACACTGTCTAGATTGAAAGCACTGGTAAGAGGGGGTTGAGGCTCAGGACAGAGGTCTGAGAAAGCGCCATGTTATTCTGAAGTCATGGGTTGGACAAATTGTATTTTCTCATAGATTTAAAAACTTGCAAATGATATGGCCAACTTCCTGCTGTTCTGTTTTGATGCTTCATGAAGGAGGGCACTAGTGGGCCTGTTGGTCAGTGTTACTCAGGTTTCCAGAAAAAGGAAAGGTAGTTTTCCTCTTGACTTCACTATAATATTTGACTACAGTGTTTCCGACTGATGAAATACAGTGCAGCAAATGGATATTGGATACAGACAAGTAAATCGCTAGAGGTATGATTTGTGAAGTTAGGTTGGCTGGACAGAATTTGACAATGACCAAGCTGAGTTGGCTTTGAAAACCAGGCGGGAGAGTCGATCTTTTCTGAGATGTTGGTAGTGGATCCATCATAGATTCTGTGTGACAGTAATGGGGGAGGTGATCTGATACAATGCATTTTTAGGAAGCTGGGCCCAATGGAATAGGAGAGGTTGGTTAAAGGGGAGAAGCCAGAGGTAACTAGATGAATTGAAAGCCAAGTTACAGGTTGATTAAGATACAAACTAGCAGTTTCTGGTCTCATTTTACTCCCAGACACACACGACAGATACTTTCCCCTGAACTTCACGCTCCCAGAGGGAGAGGACATATGCTGGATAATGGAGACTTTCAGCATTGCCCTGTCCTTCAGCTCAAGAAAGCAAAGTAGTAAAAGCGGGTGCAAATGACTTTCACACTAGCACGGAGATAATCTTGAGTCAGATCTAGTTCTGCTAATTTGTATTATATAATAGAAATAACCGACTGTGTTATTATAAATTTGGTTTTGGGGCACCTGGGTGGCTCAGTCAGTTGAGTGTCCGACTTCTCAAGTCATGATCTCATGGTTCATGGGTTCAACCCCACGTTGCACTCTTTGCTGACAGCTCAGAGCCTGGAGCCTGCTTCCGATCCTCTGTCGCCTTGTTTCTCTCTGGCCCTCCCCCACTCACACTCTGTCTGTCTCGAAAATAAATATGAAAAAAATTTTTTAAAAAATTTGGTTTCATAACTAAATAATAACTAAATTTGTTATGCGCTTATGTGCCAGGCATTATGTTTTTAAGTAAAATATCTTCTTTAGCTTACTCAGCAACTTTTTGAAGTAGGTGACTCCATTTCCCTGACTTTATAAATGAAGAAACTGAAGCACAGAATAGATACAGGAGCTTGTCAGAGGTTGCATGATTATGGACGTGAATGCTGACAGGCAAGCTCCAGGGCCTGTGTCCTTATTTGAGGCCGTGTTGCTTTGTGAGTTATAGGGTCACATCGGACGGTTCGAGAGGTAATATGCGGAACCACGGTGGGAAGTCTGAACTCCCGGCTCTGAGAGGGCAGCTGAGAAACTAACTCCCTGTGAACTTGTTAGAAAGGAAAAAAAAATGTGACTTCTGAAAACAGCTACAAAAACTGGAGCTCCCAATAGGTAGGAGAACAGAAAAGCTCGGAAAGCAATAGATCAAAATATGTATGAGAAGTTAATGTATAACCAAAAGTTTGGGTGTAATTTAGCAATTTATCTGTTAGGAAACAGCTTTAGACCTCTCCTTCGTACCCTATAACAGAAATTACAGATCAGTTAAAATTAAAATAAAATGATTAGAACATCGGGAAGAAATGTAGCAAAATAGATATATGATCTAGGGGTGGTAGGAGCTTCTCTTAATAAATGATTAGAAAAACACACAGCCTGGGACACCTGGGTGGCTCAGTCACCGAGGTGACTCTTGGTGTCCTGTCCAACTCTTGGTATTGGCTCAGGTCATGATTTCAGTTTGTGAGATCAAGCCCCGTGTCAGGCTCTGCACTGATAGTGCAGAGCCCGCTTGGGATTCTCTCTCTCCCTCTCTCTGCCCCTCCCTGCCTCAAAATAAGTAAATAAACTTAAAAAAAGGTCAGGGGTGGGGGCAGGGGCGGGGTGCAGGCGAAGGACCAAGAACCCAAGGAAAAATGGCAGTCTGAAGACTGGCGGTTTACAGTAGAAGAAATCCAAGATGCTCAGTACAACTTCATTCGTAAGCCAGGTATAAATGCAAATTAAAGCAATAATGAAATCTCATTTTTCTTCTATCAAAATGTGCAGAAGTTTAAACGGGAAGATGGTGGTTCTGTAACCCTTTGGGAAGGTAATCATCGATGTGCGTTAGTGCCCACAAAGGCCGTTTCTGTTCTTAGAAACGGATAGTAAGACCTCAACTTTGGTTTAAACAACACTACATCAGTTTTGATTTAAAAAGTCTTGAGTTAGTTCTTTCTTAGGCAAACGGTACTGCTACGTATATAAATCTAGCAAAGTTCAGCAGCCATTTTTAGGGCACCCGTGAACAACATTTGGTTCTGTTTACGACCTAGTTGAACCACCTTCACCGCAATTTAAAACGACATATACGTTTCACCTATTTGATTTCCTTTTAAAGTACTTCAGATGTCTGATCTGAAAGTTAGAACTTAGGCACTAACAATAATTATAAATTTAATAGTTGAAACTTCTCATAAGCCTGAAATTCTCTTAGAATTTCTAAGTTCTAGTACTGTGTCACCCGTCTCAATCAGTTGCAACTCAGTTGTAACCTGTGGGTTGGAGTCATAACATTGAACATTGCAAGTAGGTAGAAATACTATGCTCACATTCCTCCTGACATCCCAAATGTTAATTCTTTGGCCTTAATTGAGTTAATCTTTCTGAGGGCTAAAAAACTATGTATATCTACTTCAGGAAACCTGTTAGCACATGTAGCTGAAGTAACATACCCACCAGGGAAGGGTGGTAATTGCGGTTACTTACCGTCAAAGCCTCGGATTCTGACCGGCTTCTTGCTGGTGACCTGGGTAGGACACAGTGAATCCGGTTGTAGTTGCTGCATCAAGTGACTTCCTTTACTCTCAGGAGGCTGGCCCCTGACTTCAGATGCTAGTTGGATGGTTTGATTCTTGTGCGCACTGGGGGAAATCTATGACAGTCATTCAGGTTGATCGCTGCACTGAATTTTGCATCATTGACTCCTAAGATGTGAAAATCTCTTTTCCTCTTAAGCCCTGTATTCTTTCCTTTTTAAAAAAAACATATAATTCTATTGGATATTTAAGATGATATCTGGGAGAATTTTAGATAGAACTCCTGTTTCTGTCTTACAGCCTCTCCTGAGAGTCTGGCAATAATATCTGTTAGACTTTAAAACCCAGATTCCCATAACCTACTTTTGTAAATCTTAACCAGTAGAGGAATTAGTACTGTATACAGATTTTTTGTACAAGTTTTTTTTTTTTTTGTTTTTTTTTTGGTAGCATTGTTAACTGTGGCAAATGTGCTGGCCCACCCTAACTATATGGGGATAGTTGAACAAGTTGTATATTTTATTCTGATTTACTTGGTTAAGTCACATCTGAAAAGATATATGTATAAATTATATTTTGAAACAGCCAACACTTAATATTCATTTATTTATTTGTAACAAATACTTGAATGACTCAGTCACTAAAACAGACAAAAATCCCTTTTCTTGTGGAGCTTACATACTAGTAGTTGAGTGGGAGACAAACACAAACACTGGCTAGGTAGCGTATTAGAGTATGATGGATGTAAAAGAGAAAAGGAGGGACAGTCGGGAGTGCTGGAGGTCTCAGGAGTGTGTGTGTTCAAGAATATTAAACGGGGTAAGTGTCGCTGAGAAAGTGACATTTAAGCAAAGACTTGGAGCTGAGGGAGTCAGGTGGCTCTGGGGGAGCAGCCAGTGCAAGGGACGGAGGGGGGAGTATCAGAGAGGGGAGGGTAATTGGTGGTAGCAAGAATAGAAATCTCTTTTGAAGAGTGTTAATACAAAGAGGGGCAGAAAAATGAGGCAGCAGCTGGAGGGAAAAATCGGGCAGCGAGGAGGATTCTTCG